TTTTGCATTGTAAGATGCATTTCGTCCACCCGGTATATTTTTCATGACTAACATTCATAAAGCGTTGTTTTGTTTCATTCAAATTGAGCACATCAGCATCAGATTATACTTACACATTGACTTGACAGCTATCCCATTCTAACTTTATAGGTGGCGCTATGGGACCTGAGCATATGGAGTCGGGAGAAGATCCTATGAGAGTACTCCGTTCTCGACTCCTCTAGTTCCAAGTCGTGTTGGTAACCTACAATCCACCCAGCTGTTACTGTAGATATATTGATAATTTCATATGCAAACGTTATTTATACCGTCATTTCCAAAGATACCGACTGTAATAATAAGGATATATCTTTGATATACGCACCATTGCATAATTTCAGTGACGATGCGTGTGCGACATCTTTAAATGAGAATTTTGTTGTTGACTTGTTATGTTATGAATGTGGTGACATCTTTAAATGAGAATTTTGTATCTGAATGAGAATTTTGTAATTTACTACACATCGTGTAACATACTGTGTAACACATAAATGCGTAGTTCTTCATTTTGGTAAAGAGGCTAGTTTGTTTCCGTGTTGATAGTTAATTGTACATGATTTTCATGTCATCATTATTGTATAAAATAATAATGATTAATGTGCCATAGCTTCAAACATTAACAGCAGTATTGTAATTATTTAATAACTAATCAGCAATACTTTTAATACATGTATATAATCTTGCTAAATATCCATGTTGCAATTATGCATAATTTAATTGTAGAACACATAATAAACGGGAGGTCGTGAGGTTGAGGAATAAATGAATGGACACTGCCGGTGTTTAGCTTTAACGAATAAGTGGCGAAAGTGCAGCCCGTAATTGCTTCTTATCATTCTTATCAAAACACGTTATTTCAAGATATTATGGCTAAAATTTATTATTTAGAACTTAATATTTCAAAGATAGAGTGGCACAGATATTTTGCTTTTAAACATGAATGTTGGAAAATATGATTGAGTCATTTATCCATATTATCCTGTAGTATTTATCAAACGTCGCTGCAAGATTGGATAAAGGGAGAATCAACCATAGAAAATATTATTTTGAAAAAATTGAGAAATCCACATTTCTAAATACTATTCAGGAAATTAGACAATGAGAACTTTGATATTGGTAAAAATATCCCCGGCCATTTGCATTGACCATTCAACAGGCAACTTTTATTTTAGATAATTGAGGTTTTGAGTGGGAAAATACTACTGCCTAATTGAAAATACTGTTCGTTGCTTATTCCTTCACTTTTTCTTTGGTAGGTTCTACCTTTGTCGAAGTAAATGTAAATATCGCATGGCTTTGTAGAACTGTAAATAAAATTGATAGTTTATGTAAATTTTGGAGTTTTTTGTCATCTTAGTAAATATGTTGAGAATATTGGAATTAAAATAAATATAGCTAAATGTGCAACCTTTGAACTTATATTGACGTTTAATATCGAAAAATTTGGTCTTCTAAATAACCTTGACATTTCATTCAAGATATCGTCTTACTGAAACGTTCACCCATTAAAACGACAGGAATCACAAATACATGAAATACTTATATTTAACGAATTTATTGATTGACCTTTACTTATAACATTGACCTACGGTGATTTCCATAGAGGATTCACATCTGAGAACACTACAACTGCAGAAATGATGTGACATAATCATCATCTGGGAACACTACTACTGCAGAAATGATGTGACATAATCATGGTGGCAGTTGACCCTGATATGACCTTGATATGACCTTGATCTTGGCCTACCATGACTCCAGAAGACCTTCATGATATATCGAAGTGCTTATATATCCGTATATTGATATTTGATCTTTAAGATAAGTTGACCTTCTGTGGCGATCGCGATTGTCATTAACCTTCAATACAGATATTTAACAAGGCATTCACACGACAAAATGTTGAAGCAAGATAAAATGACCTTTTTGACCATGAGGAGATCCTTAAAGGTCAAATCTATTTTGACCTTGATAATGTCATTGAAGGTCAAATCTAGAGTCAGATTTGAAATGTTATGAAGTTGTAGATGGTTCTGAAAAAATTGGTCAATTTGAAGCAAGTTGAAAAAAGACCTTTTTGACCTTTTTTGACATTGAAAAGGTCATTGAAGGTCAAATCTCAAATCTTAAGTCAGATTTGAACCTTCTATAACTTATAGATGATTTTAGAAAATAATCGGTCAATTTGAAACAAGTTGAAAAAAGACCTTTTGACCTTTTTTTGACCTTGCAAAGGTCATTGAAGGTCAAATCTTAAATATAAAGTCAAACTGAGAATGTCATTGAAGGTCAAATCTATAGTCAGATTTGAAATGTTGAGAATTTGTAGATGATTTTGAAAAAAATTGGTCAATTTGAAGCAAGTTGAAAAAATACCTTTTTGACCTTAAAAGGTCATTGAAGGTCAAATCTTAAGTCAGATTTTGAACTTCTGATAACTTAAAGATGATTTTGAAAAAATCGATCAATTTGAAGCAAGATGAAGAAAGACCTTTTTGACCTTGAAAAAGGTCATTAAAGGTCAAATCTTACGTATAAAGTCAGATTTGAACTTCTGAAAACATGTACGGTATATGATTTTGAAAACAATTGTAGTCTGTACACTATTTGTTAAATTATTAGAAGTTGTGAGAATTTGTTACAGACGCCGACCGCCGATCACCAACCGCCAACCACCATCCGCCGATCGCCGTCAAAAAAGGGAGACCACCACAATATCTGGTGGTGACATAAAAAGTCAGACTGACTCACACCAAAGCAAAAATTAATGTCCTCAGGAGCATTCATCATGTCACGATCGAACTATATCTTGTTATGATATGCGATACTACAGTATCACTGGCGGATCCAGAAGCTGACAAGGGGGAGCAAATTTCAAATCAGACATAAATTCAAAGTCTAAATTTTGAAAATTAAAGACCCATTTTTGATAATATGGCCTAAAAAGGCCCGAAAAGGCCAAGTAATGCCCAAAAAGGCCCACTAATTGAGGCCCTACACAATCTTGGGCCCAATTTTTTTTCTGGGCCGATCCAAGGGCCCCCCTTGGATACGCCAGTACTTTGAAACAGACTCCATCTACATGCATGCAGGTACAACGTCTAATTGCTTTCAATACAAAATTAATTCATCAAGTCACATTTTCAAGCAAAAACATCAGACTTAAAACATACAGCATTACGGTTTTAATTAAGAGTTCATTTAACATCGAATTTCGTTTGATTACCGAATTGTCATATATAACAGAAACATGATAAATGCGAGATAAATGGTCTAATCATGACTTGACCTTCTCACCTCGTCTGCCCAATAATGAACGCTTTGAGAACATGTTGATGGCTTCCATGTGTTTAACGTGTTATTCATGGTCAAGTTTGGTACCTTAACCAGTCACATTCAATCAATCACAGATATCCCCTTTCGACCAATGTGATGATATCTGCCTGCTTATCAAAAAACAGCCCAGCACGAATTTGTTTCTGATGATTCCAAAATACTTGTTCCTCGTTTCTGCCGATTTTGCTCATTCAAATCATTTTCGGCAAATCAAGACCAGATAATTAAAACTAGACATTCTGTCAAATCAAGGGTAGGTAATTGCCTCAAATAATGAGTTGGTGAAATTTCCCTTCGGAAACAAGTAAACAGAATACAGTCTACCCGTCCTTGTTTACAAGTATTTCATCTTAAGGTGTTGGACTTACAGACAGTGACCTTCCCCACAAAGGCGATAAACAAGGAATGCAGGCAATATGAGTGGGGGATATCCGGCTTTGTAAATGCATATCCCTCGGGGATGTGTGGTCATGTGACAATTGTTACAACAATTGTCTTGTAACAATCTCAATTGAATTATTAGAAATAGTTTAAACGGAGCTTCCGTATTAAGGAATTCGACCAGACTGACCTGAGGAACCCCGCGTCGGAGGAAAACAGTTCGCCTACATGGAATAAACATGTTGACTTTTTATATTATAAGTTTCTTGACATTATGCTTCATGTAATACACTATTTGTCAATTAGATTTACAATGTTGGAGTTCGCCTCCACAAAAACTCATACCTTTGAAGTGATGAACATTGAGACAAAAGAGATGTGACTTTATCTTGCCAGAAAGAGGGGAAGCATTCTTCTTTCCAATAAACTGTAAGCATTTATTCATATAGTCTTTAATTGTGTACAGGAAGAGACACAAAAATGCAACTCTTGAACAAAGATCGGCATTTGGAATTGGATATCATTTGTGGATACTTCGAGGATAACGTGTTTTAAGCATTTCAAAAATGATTTGATTATTTGGTAAAAATTGCAAAGAAGATGAACAATGAACCAAAAGGTGAATTGATCGACTAAAAGTCGGATCTTTCATGCAGTGAACACTATCACCGTGACTATACACGCAATCAAAAAGCGAACTTATTCCTTCATTATTGCAAATGCTATTCCAAATATAGAGGGCTTAATTTTTTTTGTATCACTCTGTAAGTACATTAATGTAACGCCCGAAGAATATAAGAACAATATCACTACTCTTGCATAGAACGCCCACCAGCCGAGTGAAGACATTTGGTAGTAATCAATGATAATATACCAACCATCAACCCCCGAACTATATTTGACCAGGATTGAAACTATCTGAAGTTCGGACATTTTCCAAAACGAGAAGAAATAAGTTATTTATGAAAAACAATTTGAAAACCCAGGATAAAACGGCATCAAAAATAGGAAACTGTGGTGGACAACCAATTAATCATTATGAAATAGAAAAAATGTGTGGTATATTTAATTATGCGAAGGCGGATGAATATCTACTAGACAATAGATTCAGGTTTTGTTATGAACAGATCGCGGTTTAAGATCCAGTAAAATTATCTCATTTATTAGCATCCATTGCGCATGACAATTAGGTTCATCAGAATTATATATATATATAACTAAACATTGTGAATATTCACAGTTCCACGAGGACACCACTATTGACAACTTTTAACTCATGATGTTTTCAAATATGTGGTTTTTAATATGTTTTCTTATGATGATGGTCACGGTTGATACAAAGATGGTCTCGTATTCAAACAAAATTCCCAATTTCGGAGAAAGTTTATCGGAGACGAGGAAGACATTTCGAAATGGACACGAGATGGGGGACAACCAAAGACGCAATGATAAAGATAAGATGTCTACCAAAGATAAAGGATTTGAACTATTGTTCACCACAAATGAAGACGAATATGAAGATTTTGAGGTAACAGCTGAGCGCCCAATACCTACCTGGTTGAGGGGAACGCTGGTAAGTTCTGAAGCCTTAACAATTATCAATTAGACTTAATTAAAAATTAGACTTTCAACAGTGAAGATTCTACATATGGAAGCAAAAATAAGTTAGCAAAGAAGTTTGAAAAATATAGAATAACTCTGTGGTAGTTTAGATGGATCATTTTATTGGCAATATATTTATCATATCGTAATTCAAGCGAGCGAAGCGAATTGATAGAGTGCAAACATGTGCATTTTACACCTACTAGTAGATAAAGCGATAACTCGAGAACCATTTGCCCAGCCCATGATTACACAATTAAGAATTGTTTTGTTTTGTTTTAATTCAACATTAAACAGAATAAATGCTCTTCTTAAGAACATTTTGGCACGCAATAAAAATTCGTTTATCATACGCATATATTCGATGGATTGACAGAACTTGACAGAAACCAAACATATAATTCGCATATGCCTCGTCTGATAAATTGAACGACAAAATATTGCCAGAATCTCTATGATCGATCAGAAATATCACTGACTGATAGCATACCGATAAAAACAAAATAAAGACAATTGAAAAATAATTGATAAATTGGTATCAAATAGTTTCGACCAAGTGAATCAAATAACGAATATACCGGCTTGTAAGCACGTGGCAAGATCATATCTAATCACATATTGGTGATTCGGTGACGAGCTGGATATGTTTGCCCCCATCCTCCGAACGCAAGGCCCCAGACATCATCCACTAAGTTCCTTCCTTCTTCCAGAAGAAGATGTACGAGTTCTAGAGGCCTGTTTTCGGAGGATGTGTTTTGCCAAGGGGTTGAATGTGACAATCAACAGCCAAATGCATAAATAATGTAATAACATATATTTGTCACAGACAATAGCAGATGAAGCGTTCGGGGAGAATTCTACACTCATACACAGAAATGTTCAAACTTTATAGTCCCTAATTGTTATGACATTTGGTCCATATTTGGTCTTTTAAATATAATGTTCTGTCCCATTTCTATTTGCCCACCCTGTACTTACACAACGTCAATCAAAAACACATCTTTTTCAAAACGCCTACTCCTCGTCAAAAAATCACACGTCCAGTAGTCCTTACAGCGTCCTCTGGAGTATACTACATGTATCAGTCATCTTTTATCGATTTGATGTTTTATGTGCATTTGTTTCAGGTTCGAAATGGACTTGGACGTTTTGAAATCGGACCACGGAGATTCATCCACGCATTTGATGCCTACTCAAAAATCACGACCATAAAGTTTACTCATAATGGAAAGATAAAATTTTCCTCGAAGTTTTTAAGAAGTGAGGGATATTCAAAGTCGATTGATAACGACAATGTGTACCCCTACCTCACATTCGGACCAGTCGAACCACCATTTGGGTATTTTGAAAGTGCACAGGCGCTGTACAATGGTGTGGACAATACCAACATTAACATATACAGCTTTGGTAATGGTTCCGCTAAAGAAACTGTAACTCTTAGTGACTTCTGGGTTAATTACAAGATAGACACAGGCGATCTTTCGAAAGCGGAAAAGATTGACGCGGACATTGACATCAATAAACTGAGTTTCATTCCTCTTTTATCAACAGCGCATCCATTGCCGGAATATGGAACGTCAAATGATATCATAATCGCTTCAAGTTTTGGAATCTTTCCTGGTCGTTCAAACAAGCTTCACGTCGTTCGAATCAGATCATCCGGGGACAGGGAAGTAATCACTAGCATTGACGTTGATAACGTTCACTACGTTCACTCATTCGCCGCCACAGAACGTTACGTCATAATATTTGCCAATCCTGTGTACGTTAGCGTTGCGAATATTCTAAAATCATTCAATGCAATGGGCAGCTTAGACTGGCACAAGGACAAGCAAACTGACGTTTACGTCGTGAAAATCAAAGATGGTCATGTCACAAAACTACAAACAGAACGTGCGTTCAATTTACATCACGTCAATGCGTATGAAACACGAAGCGGCAAGATCAAAGTTGATGTGATAACATACCCAGATATCAACTCCATCAAACAATTTACAGTTGACACACTAAGTGACAGAAATAAAAGGAACCAAATCCGCGCAAACAATGTGTTAAAGAGGTACACGATAGACTTAAAGCTTGGACGGGTGGTACCTTACACGTTCGGGAGCAATATAAAGCGTAGCAAAATGGGGTCAGTTAATAGACTTGATATGCCAGTAATAAATGAGAAATTCAGACACCATAAATATTGCTATATTTATGGGCAAGCAATGAAAAATGACGGCATTAACTTAAGTGACATATCATTGGTTAAGAAAGACGTTTGTGGAGGATCACGTGATGCCGTTTGGAGCATGAACAATCACTATCCTACAGAACCTTGGTTTGTTCCAAATCCATCCAATGAGATCGGAGGGTCATCTGAGGATGATGGGATAATCATGAGTCTCGTTCTAGACGGTGAAAAAGAAAAATCATATTTATTGATCCTAAATGCGAAAACCATGAAGACAGTGAACAAAATATATTTACCCACACCTGTTCCTTTGACAATACACGGACGTTTTTTTCCAAATGAATAAGTGAATAACTGAATAATCTATTGTTCTCATACTTTTTCAGAACTGGGAGAAAATATAATAAGTCAAACAAAATAAGTCAGAACATGTTCTGTGATTTTTGAAGATAAAATGGACTTAAGAGATTTCAGCTGAGCAAGTTTTGAAAATTCACCCGATCACAAGGAACATAGAAAATTGGTTGCACTCTACATTTTGGCCAATCCAGAGAGCGTTCCTTGTATGCAAGTTTTAGTGTTCAGCATTTGTGTATGGAAGGGACTAGATGTTATGGAGAAGAATTTTAAGTGACGTCTCCTTTGCAAATCTAATTACGAGTAGTATGCACATTATTCTGCAATTTTATACATGTATCTACAATTTTCAATAACTACAGGGTGGTCCAAAAATGTGAACATTTGTTAACTGTACACAGAACTTTTACTTTTTGAACCACACTGAATTTAATCAGATATCTTCATTCATTTTTGAGGAAATAAAAGTAAGATGATAGGAAAACTGATGGACTAAAATATTGCTCAAACATTTTATACTCTCTATCACTTCTTGTTCCTTTAGAGCCAGATACTCCAATACTGGCAAAAGCATTTTGTAAATGTCACCACCTGCCATTTGTTAAAGATGCCGAACACCAACCGCCAAATACCATCAACAAAAAAGTTGGAGACCACTTCTAGTGGTGACATAAAAATTAAGTATGATTCTGAATTTCTACTTAACAAATATATTTATTGCATCCATTGTTTTGGTAGTACAAGCTTAAATACTGAGACAGTTGGAGAAAAATTCTTGCACTACCCTTAGGGTCCAGTAAGAACTACTACACTCTACTAAGATTTAACAGTTCTTAATCTGATAAGATTTTAATGAGCAAACTAGTAGCTGGCATTGCCTTCATGGGAATAGACCTTTCCAATAAATGCTCAATGCTGCCACCTACCTGTACATATTTGTCAATGAAAGAAACGATGATATATTCTGCTAGATTGATGATGTCATTGGCTGTTGGTAATGGCTGTGTTTTTGAATGTCCGAGGCGCAAGTCTGTTACGTAATATTTATATGAGTTATATCTCCCCAGGTATCAGGAAAAAGATCAATAGGCCCTGTGGAGTGAACAACATGGTCACAACATGGTCAGACGTTTTACAAAAACAGTTCATCTAAGTGCACTGATTTGCGCCACGGACAGTTCAAAAACGCAGCCAATCTGTCCAAGCAAAAACAGGACTTACTTATTGCTAATTTCGAAAAAGAACAACCAATGACATCATCAATCTAGCCATATATCAAAGGTTCATTGATGTATCAAAAGGTGGCATGATTTACTGTAAAGGTCTATCAAAATATGAAATAAATGACAACTACTTATGTACATTTACATGTTGTTGGCAGAAATTGCAGTGACTGCACTTCTGATTGGAAAGCTCCTTTAAAAATGCAAGTTCAGGCATTTGGAAAAAACATTCAAATAAAGTCCATTTAATTCAATAAAGCAAAGCTCATTGATTGTTTAGGTAAACAAGCTATTTAAAGCAGAATTAATTAGTTCAGACATTTTTAGGTGATTGCTTTACATTGTGCATGTTGTGTGATAGTCCTACTTTAAATTACACGGTTATTCTATTTTCACACCGGAATAGCCTGACAACGGTAAAGTCAGATACCGTTGTCACAAATGGCGGACATAATTGTCGCTTCAACTCTTTAATCTCTCTTGATCCTCGTTTCATGGGACTTTATCGTCGCTAATTCTGTGCATGTGTTAAGATCGTGTGATGATGTATTATATGAAATCCCAATTTCTATCCAATGGGGTCATGAATCGCCACGGAATCTAAATTTGAAATAATTTACAAAGACAACGGCAAATGGTAAGATGTGACAACGGACTATGGTGGATGTATTGTCATGTCATGTCATATTCCGATCGGAAGAATTAAAACTTTATTTCCATGGTAGAACATATTTAACTACGTGTATATGATCAGTAGAAAAACACTGAGTAATTACAGTACCAAAGGAATTTAATCTAGTTGCTCTATTAAACAAACAGTTCATGGAAATCTAATAGAAGGGATGGTTATGTCCGCCATTTGTGACAACGGTATCTGACTTTACCATTGTCAGGCTATTCCAGTGTGATTTTGGTTCTGTTTTGAGCAATTTGCACATTAATGACTACACCTTTATGGAAGATAATCAAAAAGATAAGAACAATATAATCTATTTAATAAAAAACACCGGGACATGTAGAGCATAAGCCATGTCTTAACTCCTTCATACAGTAGTCCATAATCAGACTTTCTTCATATCACAATCGCAATCAGGGTCCTTTGTTGCGACTATTACAATGTCATCTTCATCTCCATACCCCATATAGACGATGACTGCAGTGAACCAGAGCAGTAGATGTAGGATCGCCATGCTGCTATGCGTCAATGTCGTTAATCTGGACATATAGATGACATCTCGTAGTTGTACAAGTTGACTAACATATGTTACTGTACCAAGTGTAAGGTTAAGGCCTCCCATAAGGAATAAAACTGAAATTAAGATTGCAGCATTCAGTCTTGTGTCTTGACCTGGATATTTTAATGTATCTAATCTAATAACAAGCAAAAAAAGCCTTCTTCCTTTTACTAGCCTCATATAAAATTAAACAAGGCATTAACATGCAAAATGTCACAACCTGCCATTTGTTACAGATGTCAACCACGGAACAGCAAATGCCTAACTCAGACCACCGAACAGCATTCACAATATTTGGAGACTATGACAATAAGTCACCACTTATGTGGTGGTGACATAAAAAGCATCTGCTAGAAATAATATAACAAAAGTAATGTTCGATTTAGCCTTGCCCAAGTCGGAATCTTTTTACTTATCTGATCTTGAATTATTACCATAATAGTCATAATAGAAATCAAGATAAGTAAAATAGACCGACTTGGGCAAGGCTATGTTCGATTCTATACTTGGGCTTCATGCTTTTTCAGGAATCTGATTTAAAACTCATTATTGGTACATTCACATCAATTGAAATTGTTTGATTAAAAAGATGGCGTAAGTGTCCAGTACACCTCTCATAAAAGAGTTACTTTTTCACTTCCATGTTACATTCACCACACAAGCTCAATGCTGATATCATTTAGTGCATGATTTTTAGGGGTTTGTGAAGTATCCCACCATATCACCTGACCTTTATATGAACTTGGTACGTTTTATGCACATATCCCGGTGCGTATCCCAGTGATAAATCCCATTAGTCTTAAAACCCGTCTGATCGGGCCCTGAGTGATCTCCCCAGGATTTTTTCTCAGGTGGGTGCAAAAAATTCTCATTTTCACAATGTAGACCAAAATTGGTCAAAATATGCCAATATGTTTTTTCTCATTTTCAAGTTGGTGCGAATGGATTTTCAGGTGGATGCAAGCCTAGTGATGCGCCAACTTGCTTTAATGCTGGGGAGATCACTGGGGTCACGACTGGGACCAGACAAAAGTGTTCCGATGAGTAAGTGTTCACGGTTTCATAATTGCACAATTGGTATAATAGATTTCAGTTATGCTCTTAATTTATACTCCTCAAAAAAGTTAAGGACCAGTGGTTTGCCTCATGGGTTTACATGTTAACCCCCATATTTGTTTGAATGACTATTTTCTAAGCGGGGAACAAAAGAAATCCCAATAAAGTAAATAAATCTGTATCTTGATTGTATTCCCTATAAAGTCCGCAACATTTCAATGTTATATCTCCATTATATTGGGTCAAAAGGAGCACTTTGGTTATCGCAAACAATTTTAGAAGGTTTTATCTTCGATTATGACTATTTTCTGACATTGAAGACAGGTTTATATTTTAGATCAATTCATTATCTCAAATAAAATTATATACAGTAATAATAAAGTCAAACAAACGTGGAGATATTTAACTAGCAATCAACCCATCAACAAACGTTTTCAAAGATGTTGAACCCATTTTCACCAAAAATGCAATCATTTTTTACAGTGTTTAATGCATTACAACTATATTTTATTTTGATATATCAAATATTTCTTGAAAGAAAAACTTAATTGCTTTAGGATAAGGGTTCTCCATGTTATTTCTCAGTTGAGAAGTATCATGCTATCCATTGGTTTCAGTTCATTTTGGTCATATAAATTGAATATCTTTAAAGTCACTGGAGCAATCAACTTTTCCTTTTAAGAAATCAAACATGTCTCAAAGCCCATTCTAATTATGCATTCAACAATATAATATAAGGTAGCATTTTTAGTGAAAATTGGGTCAACATTTTTGAAAAAGTATGTTGATTGGTCCATTGCCCCTTCTGATTAATTAAATTATCATTGTATATACTTTTCTTGAAGATAATGAATGGATCTAAAAGATACACCCATGTTCATGATCAGAAAATATTCATAATTCAAGTTAGAATCTTTTGAAATTGTTTGCGATAACCTACGTGCTCCTTTGATGTCATATTGATGAATTTCATGAAAGGACGATTCTCGGTTTGGAGAACAGTCTCCTGGGCTAATAATTTTTTTCATGAAAAATATAGAAATATTACCCAAATTAAACTATGAATATTCAAAAGAGGACATTTAAATCTACAAGATGTAAAAATAACAAATTGGTCTGAAGCAGGGATAACGCTCAATTAGACCGATTCAATAAAATACAAGTCTCGATTTGGGAAAAGAAGTTCATCAGTGTACTGCGCTAATATTTTTTTTACGAAAAATCTAGAAATATTACCCAAATTAAATTATTACTAATTCAAAAGAGGACATTCAAATCTATATTATGTAAAAAAAATCAAATTTGTCTGAAGCAGGGATAATGCTCATTCAGATTGATGGACTTCGTTCTCCAAACCGAGAATCGTCCTTTAACAAAAATGGCAGATCCCATGTTAAACAAATTGGGAATGGTGGCTTAGGGGCAACTAAATTTTTGGCATGTTGGGATATCTATTCCGTGAAACATTTGTTGAAAAAAATTTCTGGGTAGAAAATCGAATGATTTTACATTTTACATGCTAAATGTCTAGCTCCTATTGGTAAAATTAGCGATATAGAGTAATTTTGACCACCTCACTGACCACCTGTGTTATTTCAATAAGGGATCCTTAAAAGAATTACTAAATTTGAAACCATTATTTTTTGTAAAACCTGGAAAATTAAATCATATTTTTGTCCAGTGGACAATATAGCAAATTTAATTGTCTCTTAAATTTTGAAATTTTGAAAGCAATCGGATGGATTGATCGTTCCTCATATGACTTATGGCAACCCATCCATTCCCCATTTGTCTAACATGGGATCTGCCATTTTTGTTAAATTTCATGAAATTCATCAATTTTGACCCAATGTAATGGAGATATAACATTTGTTGGATTTACACTAGCGCACTAAGACGTCTTAGCTAAAATGTTTTAGCGTCAAAACGTTTTACAAATGTAATGTAAATCCAGATTTACTCAAGAGCTCTCGGCTAAGAGCGCTTAGCTAAAACATTTTAGGACCCTAGTCATAGCCAAGACGTCTTAGCGTTAAAACGTTTTACAAGCGAGTGTAAACCCATCGGTTTTAGCTAAGAGCTCTTAGCCCGGTTTTTTGCGTTGCGCCGAACGAAACATTTGAAACTTTCCATTTACATATGTCGCATAATCCTTTATTTTGTCTTATCCTTTGTTCCCAATATCATGCAAAAATTATCGAGAAGAACTTATTTTCCTGGCGATTTATCATAATCCTAATTTATGCATAAAATCTTCCTGCTCTCTTTCATGCTTTTAACAATGCTGTCTTTAGGACATATTTTTCTGAAACCGATGCATTCTTGAGTACAAAGTCGGGTACAAAGTATAGAAGCAGAAAAGGAATAGCTATATTGACTGAACCGTCGTTCAACCAGTACTGAACTGCTTTTTTCATTTTACATGTATACCTACATCTCTAAGACGTTTTAGGAAAACAGGTGTAAACTCGATCTTATTTCCTAAGACGTCTTGAAAATGATAATGTAAACTCAACTTAATTTTTCTAAAATGTTTTAGCCAAAATGTCTTGAAATGCTGCGTGTAATGTAAATTGGGCTACTAAAATGTTGCCGACTTTATAGGGAATGGAATCAAGATACAGATTTATTTTCTTTATTGCGATTTCTTTTGTTCCCCGCTTAGAAAATAGTCGTTCAAACAAATATGGGGGTTAACATGTTAACCTATGAGGAAAACCACTGGTCCTTAACTTTTTTTGAGGAGTATATATAAGTAGCTAAAGTCTTACTGTCTGCTGCATACGGAGCATATGGGACTGCACTACCCTGAGAGAAGCAGGCTACAGCCACTGCTGATGCTAGGTATGTGTTACGACACCAGGACAGATACCCTATAACATAGAAATATATATTACATTACGAAATTACAAAACAATGAATGTTCATATATTTTTTTATTCAAAGTTTGGGTTTTATTTTGATTTAAAGTACAGGTGTGAATTAAAGTATAAATACGCTGGTATGGCATTTTATATATAAGAAATAGCTTCATGAGATTTACATATTGCCCTCTAAAACATTAATAATTTATTATTTTGTTTGGTGTATGGAATAGAGGTGAGTAAATGGGTGGATTAGTGGTCAAGCAGTTATAAATTGGACATTAATTCAAACATTTTTTAATTGCAACTGCAAAAATAAATGTTTATCTTAGTACTATATTGCCGTAAAGATGCAAGAAAGCCCCTGCCAATACTTCATGTACTAGTACCTTAAATGAAATGAGGTTGCAAATACATGTAAAGCAAGTAAATGATAAGATCAATGTGTTATAATTAGTAGATACACTTTTCTGCATATTCTTTTCAAATACTGTACCAAGTATTCTGAGTGCGACTTACCATTTTCATTGGCCAGCCGAATCATCTGTAATCATAAACAGAAAATTCATTAATTTATAAAAAGTGTCAATTATTGCGATCTAAAATTACACAAGTCATAATATGAGCATTAATCTTTTTAAACATTATTAAATCGTGATAATTAAGCCATAGAAATTGAAAGCGGATAATTCATTGAATAATTATCACAGGATAAGGGGAGAAATAAGCTGAGAAGGTAAATATGGATAGTAAATTACCTTAAGGGGGCCCACAATGTAAATAGATTTTATAAGCGATTCTAAAAGAATGTCACACCTTTTTGTGTTCCAGATTTCAGTCATAAATTATGCCAATGTAGTGACTGCAAACTTTGGGTAAACACTGTCATTTCCGGATGCCTAAATGTCTCAGGAAAACAGAGGTACTCAAATGATTCCGATTGGACATCATGGTGCAAAGAAATCGTAATTCTACTTAGTGGCTTCACAAAAAATCACAATGTTATGGGCCCCTTTAATATGGATAGCTTAGCTGGGTACTGACGGCATTCATTTACTGGTTTGTCTTTTGTATTCTAATTGAACCCTTAAGGTTCTAGATAGAAACAAGGCTTAATAACGCTGTTTCACTACCAGGTGGCTCGTTCGGGTCAGATAGCATGGCGGGTATAGCAGAATGTTCCCTTTAACTTAAATTATTTCTGTTTTAATGGTTCAATTTTCATATAACCCTTATGTATCTAATAGTTATGCAAATTCAAATATGTCGACTAAAAGAAAATGTTAACTGTCCAATACAAGAAAAGATATTCACTTTTTGTGATTTTGTAACATGGGGTCTATGGGGAATCAACCCGAACTAGAAGTCACATTTTCAAAAAAATTTAATTTTTGAAATATTTCAAAGATTTCAAATAATATGACATCACTTTGACTGAATTTTGAATATTTAATGAAGTAAATCAAGATTATTTCTAATCGCATCTAGTCTATTCGAGAATATATGTGACATTTCCAGATAGCATGGGGTTTCAAGAAAAGGGCATGCATCGTCCCAAATTCTACATACAGGTATGAACATTGCCTTGGGTTTTCAACACTGGATGAAAACACTTTTGGTACACATTCTAAGAAAAACTTTTATTTTGTATTTTTCATATATAATCAAAAGAAATAACTCAAAAATAAAAATACATGATTATATGCATTGCATGCATGCACATGCTGGTAATATTAACATAATGGAATTCATAATGACAATGCAAATCTTGTTGTAACTAGTTGTAACACATGCTTTTTATGCTTGCTGTATATAATAGAAAACTATTTTTCAAATTATAAAATAAGTAAAATAACACATAAAGCAAAGCTTTGCGTGCTTGTGGTTAAGTACTTTCATGTTTCTTTTTAATTAAACCAAACATGAATTAATCTTCCAGAAAAAAATGAAAGCATAAATTAACACATAAAATTGTATTTTTTTCTTGGAATGTGCTCCTAAGCAATTACCCATAGCGCAACACTCAAGGGAAAAAAAATGTATGATTGTTTTCTGATTGGTCATTTTTGTTTATTCATGAACTTTTGATTGAGTTCAAATGTAGTAACTTATGCTTTAATATATGCTTCCAATGAGGATAATACTAAATAATGATACATTTATATAGTATTCATCGAAAATACGATCAGAAAGTTAAGCGTGGCAATGCTCATATTTTCATGCTAGTAACAGAGAGTAGCATACCCATCTCTTGAAAGAACATGGCACCAGATATATCTGGAAGGGCAAAGACATTTTGGATAGAATATAGATGTTTAAGCCTTGTGTAGATATAATAAAGATCCGTATGACACTTCCAATCCTTGGTCTAAGGGAATTTCATTTCTTTTCATGGGCTCAGCAAAGCCCGATCTTGAAGAATGGACACTTTCCCAGAATGCAAATTCGTTGAATCATGTATGATTGCCAAGGCTAAATCAATTTTGCAATCAATGTTGAAAATTTGAAAAATATTGACAAAAAACTAATTAGGGCTAATTTCTACTTTACACTTTCTATGTGCCTATAGTATTGACGTATTACATATGAGGGACATTCACATCAAGGGGCATAGCTGAGGATTTAGGCAACTAGACGCCAATACAACATGAATGAAATTATTGTGTGAATTTGCTCTAGAACATTTCCAAATCACCCCCTCCCAATATTACAGTCTATGTTTCTCATGACGTACCTGATAGTCTAGTATTAACAACTTCATGACTGGCCACTATTCAAAAAATGAACAAGCCACAACATGACAATATGTCATCACCTTGTTGCTCACAATATTATGAGTTCAATCTCAAGTCAGATTTGAAATTCAGAGAATGTAGATGATTTTGAAATAATGTATTGTTCAATATGAAGCAAGTTAAAAAAGACCTTTTTGACCTTGAGAAGGTCATTGAAGGTCAAATTTTTTTAAACCATGAGAATGTCATTGAAGGTCAAATCTATATTCAGATTAGAACTTTTGAGAACTTGTAGATCAGGGGGTATGCCATGGCGTATTGCCGTACATTACAGCTACGCCACTAACATCTAGTATTGTTCAGCCGATGTATTATGACTTTAGTACAATTTCAACGAAGAGCCAGATAATTAATTCTTACCCATCCACCCTCACTCTGAATTTTGCTTCTTTGGTAAACTGTCTCTTCATAAATATCCTCTAATATGTCTCGATTACTTTTACCGACATGATCTTCCAACTCAGCCTCTATTGTGCTCTTCTTAAATTCATTTCTTGTAGTGTCCAAACCATAGAACCTCTTAGGAGTACCATACAAAAGGGAACATTGTTGCGCTGGAATATTTTTTTGTCTAAATTTTGTTGAAAAATATGTCTCTCTTTGGCGATCACAAAATAAAGGTTCTTCACAAGAAAACTGCGCACATTGTGATATATGAGGTGTCTTTGGAGAAACTTTCATACATTTTACGTTCCGTGTGAGTGAACTGCAATAGAAATGTCTTAATTTGTTCATTTTCTTGAAAATAAAATTTCGGTGATTTTAACTTCCGGGTTTAATTTAGAGACTGCGCTTTTGCATTCACGAAATTAGTAAATGAAAAACGATCACGAAATTAGTAGAAATCAATTAATTAATTAATTTAATTTTAAAGCCAGTAAACCGTGAATGTTTGGTTATCACTGAAGTAAGTCTCAACATACGTTCCTCCAAAGTAACTTTAAAACTTAGAGGGACTCCATGCAGTTCATGGGAGAATTTTGGGAGGAGGAGGGGGGGGGGGGGTTATGGTCCAACCAGGAAGTTTCCTTCCAATGGATGACATCTCACAAAAATCAGTGGTGTTTCTTTTTAAAATGATTTGAACAAACCATGACTGTTTTAATATTAGCTAAGGTTTAGATTAACATCATGGGCTTTCAAGAGATATAATCCTATTAGACTCTAGACTTATCGCATCCTACGACCCCTTTAGATTGTGGTCGTAGGCCCGTTTCATTGGTAAGCCTGTCTTTCTACAATGTCGGAGAATGAACTACGCATTGCACTATTAAATGACCTACCTCGATACATTCCAGAGTATTTTAAAATTCTTTTTATGTTGTTAGATCGCCAATTGTATGGGTTTATCGGCAGAACGAAGAGATTTTAGTTTTTACATCGGAAATATCTCAGCATTTTCAAAATGTCGGAAGGGGAATTCCCCAGGGATTTCCCTTATGACTGGTGCATGCCGGGAACTGAATGGAGGAATTTGACGGTTGAATAAGTTAAATATTACACGCAAATATTGCTATCAAAAACGAAAATATCTTCGTTCTGCCGATAAACCCATACAATTTGCGATTCAACTATATGAAAAGAATTCTTAAATACTCATGAATGTATCGAGGTAGGTCATTTATGTGTGCAATGCATAGTTCATTCTCCGACATTGTAGAAACACAGGCTTACTAATGAATCGGGCCTACGACCACAATCTAAAGGGGTCGTAGGATGCGATAAACTCTAGACTAGTTAATTATGGGCTTTAGCCTTTTGTTTGCAGATTATTAGGCTACACTCCAAGAATGCCCATGTTTTATCAAACAATGTAGGCTACATGCACTTAATTTTAGTAGACTTACAGGAAGTCCAGGCAGAAAGGTCCATGAGCAATGCTGGATACAGAAACCAGGTACCGCTAATGTCATTACCTCCAAATTGAACCGGGAAAGTCAACAACGTGCTAATGTTTATAATTTCTATTGACACGCCCCATATCGATACTTGTGACATATTTGGACATGGAAGCCATTTTGGGAGATGTCATCTTCCATAAATGGATATTGTACGGACTATTTCTATAATATATTATATTCATCCGCAACATGAAATTCCATATTATGATATTTCATGCACTTCTCGTATGGAATTTTACCAACAAAGTACTAAAAAACTATATTTTATAGTTAAAGCTTATAGTGAAATCTCTGAAAATTGACCTGAAACTATATTTACTATCGAGAATTATATCACGCGCTATAATATCTCAGTGCGAGCTGTAATGCAGTCCTTTTTTGGAACGACACAGGAAATGAGAACAACATCGCACATTTTTGCAAAATAAACCGCGAATTTTCAACATAAACATGCAAGGATCAGGAGATAATGTCGGTGCAAATGGCGTCCAGAATATAATATACAGCATGACGAGCAGTATGAACAATGGGGCAGGTATGCTTAAGCTTGCGCCTGATCAACTGCCGAGTCCTGAAAAGTTGAAAAGAACCGCCGATCAGGCAAATTTGGCCCTACCCGTAGAATGCACATTGGATACTGACAGTGATGATGATGACAGCGATATGCAGAAAATGTACCAAAAGCCCGGTCTCAAGCCTGGTAAAAAAACGAAAGGGCGTGTCAAAATTAAAATGGAGTTCATTGAAAACAAACTTCGAAGATATACAACTTTTAGCAAGAGAAAAACAGGGATCATGAAAAAGGTGGGTATTCCCCAATAGGCCCTAAAAGTTACCCAAAATTCGAATACATCCACAGCTACTTGTGTAAACTCTTGAGGGCAAAATGTTGTCAGTAGTTGGCAGACAAAAAGCTGAATTTTATCTAAATAAAAATCCAGCTTGTTTTCAATCGCAAGATTCTTCTTAATTGGGCATGGAAGTAATTGAAAGCCCATGGGTAAGGGGAGGTAAGGGTTGAAATCTCAAGCCACCTGCGGTTGCTTACCAAAATTGTTCTAACACGTTATACATAGATAGATGAGGTTGCCCAGTCTCTGAGTTTGCCATGTCCAATAGACCGGAACAAAAGTTACGGGGCACCGCTCGGTTGCGACAGTGGGGTCTCATTTAATGATACCCGTCTTGCTCATGGACTTCAAAGTTCTTCATTACTCAGTTCAGTTCTTGACATTGAATTATCTAGGGATCTGTTTTCTGTTATTCCTGACTATGACATCCATGGTCTAGTGAATTAGTCATGTTTATCTATGTTAATCCCTACATCTTCCTGTTTTGACATACACTGTTATTCCTCTTGAAAGCCCATAGCAGGCCTGTAGCCAGAATTTGTCAAGGGGAATCATTTTTTAAAAAATTCCAGGGTGTTCTATTTTGACAATTTTGGTCCAAAAATGGCCAAAATCACTTGAAAAATGATCAGAATGGTGACAAACAGCATATTTTCAAAAGAATTTTGAGCGAACTACCTCCCCCTGCCTACCGTGCATAGTGTAATTAAACATTTATTACAGTGTGTTTAGTCCCCAGTATGTGACTCAGGACTGAAAGAACAGTCTAAAACAAGATATCAACCTATTTGATCATAATAAGTTGTTGATACAAATGAAACAATCAAAGTACATTATAATATTATGGTCACTCATTTGTATAAACCTGTTGCTAATCTTTGTTTTTTGTAATTTTGCCTTGTGTTCATTCACCTATTCAACACATTGATTTACTGCATTCTTTTAGGCTTATGAACTATCAACCCTAACTGGGACCCAAGTAATGTTACTGGTAGCGAGTGAAACTGGGCATGTATACACATTCGCAACACGGAAACTACAGCCAATGATTACAAGTGAGAGTGGCAAGGCTCTTATCCAGACATGTCTGAATTCCCCCGACCCCCCACCTGGCCAGCATATGAGCGAATCACAGAGAATGAACCCTAGTGGATTTGAAGAGCCAGATCTTACATACCCCGCAACTGCAGAGGAGGAGGCTTTAAAGGTAATTGAAGTTAGGCCCATATGGGTCAATAGTGTGTTTAACAAAATTGGGTCTTTATGTCACCACCAGAAGTGGTGACATGTTGTTGTCTCAAACTTTTTCATGGACAGTGTTAGGTGTTCCACAGTTGGTGTTTGGTGTCTGTAACAAATGGTTGGTGGTGACATTTTGTAAGTTAATGCCTTGTTAATAAATGACTAGGGTATTTTGTTTTACCTCAAAATAGCAAAATGACAGACATTCAATTTAAAAAATATTAAAATGTTTTTTGTTAAAGGGGAAATTTGCAACTTAAATTTGCCATTCAAATGGAAAAAGCAACAATAACAAGTGAGGAAAGTGTCAAATCTACAAAGTTAATCTTTAGTAAAAGACAAAACCTTTACAATACCTGGTGACAAGATTTATTTCTAATATATAACTATATGCAACATGAACTTTATCAATTTAAACTGATATAAATGGTTTTAAATAGATATGGTAAACATGTTATTTTTTACCCTTGCTTAACATAAATAATAGTGTAAATAACATGTAATAATAGAAAGCAATACCTGAACATGATCCCTAATTACAGTAAACATGTTTTGCAATCACCGCAAATTAGTTTTTGATGAGTTTTTAAACCTCATCTTATAAATATCACACTGTTGTCCCATTTAAAAAATTCATGCCAGATTATTAAAATCGAAGTCCATTTTCCAAACACAATTGAGGCCTATTTTTGGAAATGAGGCCTAATAAGGCCTTAAATGCACAAACTTTTTTAATTGTTTTAGATCCACCTTACTAGGTAAAAATGCCATTATATAATTTGGGTACAAAGATTTGATAAACTAGAACATATTTATTAAAAAGATTAAAATAAAATAGTAAAGCACCAAACGACCTTATTACAAACCTAAATTAACTAAGAACAAGAACATATAAAAGTGTCATATGAAAAATGAAGTGAATGTACTGCATCTAGAAAATAGAATATAGAAAACAGATATAGCCCTTGTAAAATGGATGGAGGTGTCAGATATTTGTCACTTTGCTCGAGACTGTCACAAATACAAAGTCTTATGGACAGCTTCTTAAAACTTTGGTTTTCAGGTGGTATAGTGAGATATTGAGATATTTTAATTAGCCATTTAAAATAAATTAATATGGGTGGGGGGAGGGGGTTAAACATTGACCAGATCAGCCTTATACAAATGTGTGAAAAGTGGGGAATCTTTCTTGGGTTAAAAATATTATATTACATTACATTCAGAAGTTTAATTACGAGCATATTATAATTATACAGATAATTAATTCTGAAATCACCATATATTTTATTGCATTCCTCAAAGGTTTTAATTGTTAATTATAGTAATGTAGTCCATATTAGGGATACCTTTTGTAGTGTTTTATGTTAAGTAAACGAGTGCAAAAAAGGTTTTATTATGTGATATAGATACAATGTTGTGTTAATCATGATTTCTAATATTTTATCCCACCAAATAGAGTTTGAGTCTAGGGATATAGAGTGTCTCTTAAGTGTTAAACAACAACATATTTGATTACAACAGAAACATCAGTAGATTTTGATTTGAAAATGTTGTCAACTCAGTATTTTGAAATTTCCCCAAACACCCTTAAAACAATTTATAAACCCTCCACTACTTAGTTCTTCTTCACCACCGCAACAGTAGTTGGGAGGGGGGGGGGGGTCAAAATGGCTTGTAGCTAGACTAGTAGATTATTCATAAATCAAATTGCTCCATTTCTGACTATGGGTATAGAAGCCATGTAGGGCATTGAACTATCTCAATATCTCTCTATAAGGTTGGACTATAGACCATATTGAGAATATTGAACTCAGGTTCTGCCCACTTATCTCCATGTACTGATAGTGTTAAGGGCATGAGCTCCTTATATGGCAAGCCTCTTATCCATAAGAGGCCAGGCTGAGAAACCTGATCTTACATAGCAGTACAAACATCAGCCTAACCTGGTATCTGTGTTAGCATTGCCAAATGTTGTTCAGACCTTCAATGTACATATTTTACCACTACTCCATATATATAATCAAAGGGGGCATTTCATGATGGGAGAATACCTCAAATCAGAAACAGTTTGTAGATGGAGGATAGAACGATCTGTAAGCAGTAAGGGTGACCCTTCCAATTCAGGAACAGAGGGCCTGTTGAGCAAAGCTTTGACAAATATAACATTCTTTAATGGATAATTTGTTTTCATCCCAGTTTTTTGAAAAATGTATGAATGAAATATTCGGTTTTTCTGAAAAGTTCATACAAATGTTCTCTTAATAATCAGATGATTTGAAATCAATTAACTTATATTGAAGAATGGAAAATCTGAGCACTTTATTAATTTAAATAATCTATATTGAAAATCTGTATATGTGTAACAATTACTAAATAAGAAAAATCACTTGAATATTGAAAATGATTCCTACAAATATAGACATCTAGAAATGATACCTCATCTGTAGATAACCTCTTTTCATAATACACGATGATTTCATTCTTTCAAAATGTTAAAATGATATTTCTTTGTGGATTAAGATTCAATATCAAATTCAACCTGAACCAGTACTGGCGGATCAAGGGGTGGAAGGACAAAAAAAAATTTGGGCCCAAATAGTGGGTCTTTGGGCATTGCTTGGCCTTACTTCATCAGCAGTTTAACACATATTTGAGACATTTGTTTTTGAGACGTTCCTTCTGAGAAATCAGAGGCAGAACAGGTTAACTTCAAGTTGCCTGTGGGCCCAAAAAGTTTGAGGGCCTCAAATAGTGGGTCTTTTTTGGGCATTGCTTGGCCTTACTTCATCAGCAGTTTAACACATATTACAAGACATTTGTTTTTTGAGACGTTCCTCCTGAGCAATCAGAGTCAGAACAAGTTAACTTCAAGTTGCCTCCAAGCTGACTGACTATAAACTTATCATAGCAGTACCTTGGCAATTAGTTCAAGATCAACTCTACATAAAAAATATCCATTTGTACATATCTTTACAGGTGGCAATAATCAGACACTGTTCCAACGGTTTCAATATATTGTCTGTGTCCCTTTTTTCGAATGGTCTGTAAATGGTAAAAAACATCTAATTAGCTAATATTATAATGAATCCAATTCATACTTCATTATTTTATTGTGGCTGCTTGTCTATAATTTGTCTTGCAAAGATAAAACTACAAATGATGAGGGATATGCCATTGTATTTGATATTTTGTATTGTTTATAGGGCTTTGAACATAATTAAATTATCATGTTATGTCTTTTACTTAAATATATTCAAAGTTATCTTCATGTTATGTAAACATTAATCTGTTAAAAAAACTCTAAATGCTTCAAAAAATGTGAATTTCATTTCGTGAAGTCTAGAAATAGTAATAATACGAGGGGTGATCAATAAGTAATGGACGCTTTTTTACACAGATACTTTTTATAGACCAATCCCTTTGATTTTCCTACCACTGATACATCATTCAATTATCTATCAATTCTGAAGATTTGAAGACAAAACATATAATACATTTTGATACATCCTTATTTCCATGAAGGAGGTACAGGTACCCCGGGACCGACATTTACGTCACATATTCAGTTTTTAGCTAGTTTGGTAAATTTCAGTTAGATTTGAACTTTTTATATGCAACAAGTGTTGTGTTGTTTGAAATTTTTTGCTGACTGGTCACACAAACAGAAAGTATTGTGATGTCAGAGTGTTGTATGGAAGGGGTTTGCAGGTCAATTTGAGAAAGCATTGTGGAAGAAAGGGGTGGTGAGAGAAGGGAACACCTAACTCCATATGAAAAATGCACCTGCCCACAGATCTCAAAATGTTCAGAAAACAATATCCCTGGACCTCAAAATTGAGCCCTTGGCCAATGCACCATATTGTCCAGATCTGCTCACATGTGACTTGTTTATTTCTATTCATTATTTCTATAGAGAAGGGACGCAGGTTTATTGACATTGATGAAATAAAACAACCCGTGCAACTGCATCTTGCTACCATGTCAGAGAATGGATTCAGCCTTGTCTCACAATCTTGAGTTAAGAGGATGAGGAATTGTGTACATGTAGCACTTGATGGAACCTATTTAGAGGGCCCTGTGGAATGAATGTGGCATGAATACCACATAGTGATGATAAAATATTCAAAATCAACTATGGCAAAACAAAATGGGGTAATTCATGACCATAATGGTTTGTTTTGTTCAGCCTGCATTCAACTGCATTGCATGTTAAACAAGCTAAAATAGCTTCAGAATATGTGACGTAAATGTCGGTCCCGGGGTACCTGTACCTCCTTCACGGAAATAAGGATATATCAACATGTATTAATTATTTTGTCTTCAAATCTTCAGAGTTGATAGATAATTGAATGATGTATAACTGGTAAGAAAATCGAAGGGATTGGTCTATAAAAAGCATCTGTGTAAAAAAGCGTCCATTACTTATTGATCACCCCTCGTACATGTACTTAGTCTGGATTTGTATTTTGTGTTGCTACATATATGGCCCCTTTACCAATGTCTGTATTTTATACAGCGTGAGCCCAAAAAAAAATACTCAACTTTGAATCAGTATGAAAATAGTTACAGTCAATATGGCACATTGACTTATATACCATTTTAAAGATAATACATTTTCAAACAATTTGATATTCAAGGGCTAATCCAGAAGTCCAGATGAAAATGCTCTAACTTAAAAGTTTATCATTCATTTTGCACAATATTTCCAGAGTAACTAGGTCATTTATTTCCTCATAAGTTATAAAGAATTTAGATGTTGGTAAGAAATATTTCTGAAGTTATGGTTGTTATGGTAACCTCAATAACGGTATAGTGGGACAGGGTAATATTTTCAAAATCTAGAAACCTTAAACAGCAACCTGGCCTCTCAAATAAATATATACCTTTACTTTTGATTTTATGACATAGTGTAATATACCAAATTTTTAAAAATATATAACCTTTAAAATGACATATAAGTCAATA